TTCTGCTGTCAGTGGGGTAAGAAGTTCAGGTTACAAGATGCAGTCAGGAAGAATCTCCCACCACTACATGTATCTAACTGCTTCCATTCCATGTCAGTCTATGAGCTTGGGAGGGGGGACTCGAACATCTTCACTTAGCAGTCCTTGCTTCCATTCCAGAAGAGCCTCCACTGGCATTAGTAGAACAGGACTGTTGAGTTGCTTTCTTCTGAAGTCCAATAGGTAATTTACAGAAATACGCTTAGCACCAAACAGCACTGTGGTTCCAGCTCTGCTGGGTGTACAGGTAACTGTGCACCTCTATCCTAACTGGCAGCTGCTCTGGGTGCTGCAGCAGTCGCTCCCCTAGAAACCAAAAAACTGGAAAATAATTCAGCCCCCCCCGAATGTGCGATACCTCCCATGTCTGGAGCACAGCAACAAGTGGGCAGAATTTGCCTGTTGCCTGGCTGCGGCCTGGAGCCCACCACTGAAAGAGCCTTGCTGCATCAGTGTTCCAGTAGCATTGCACTAGACCCTTGGCTACCCAGCTTGGAGTGATTGTGGCCTTGATCTTGCTACCAACATGCTGCTTGGGAGCTCTATGCTGATTAAGGCTACACACACTCACAGTCTCTGGGGGACAAATTTAGAAGCAAATGCAAATAGAACATTATATGTATATATTCACTGTCATCTGTCATCCCAACCCCTTCCACGTACCATCTGTTGTCTGAGGTTGCTGAACCTGACAAAGCGAGGTGACAGGAGGTAAAGGTTCCCTGTCTGAATTTAAAGCTCTATCATGACTTCCTGAGCTGTCGGTGCATCAGCAGCCATGGTTCTCTCATGGCTGCTGCTGAGAGCAGGCATCCAGGGCTTTGCTACTGTGTAGTTACCAGCAGCAGAGAGAGCAGCCTTGTGCTTGTGTCCAGTCTGAGTCTCTTTTCAGTGAGAAAGTTGCTGCTGAACAAATACAAAGGCTGACCTTATAGCTGTGGAGCAGATAAGTTGGTGCTACCATTTACCATGCCATATTCAGGGTTTCATGTTTTTATATCTGACGTGGTTCTCTGAGCACATAAACGTTACTATTTTTAAGATGCCTCTTTTATTTTCTGTTGCCTTTTTTTAACCTGTGTCCTTAGACTGGGTAATTGGAACCAATGTAAACTGTTCCCTTTTTACCTTTACAAGTCTTGTGAGCGAAGAGTCATTTTGCTATGGCACCAGCAGCCTGACTAGCTAACACCTGGTGGAAACCAAGGACTCTTTGTGGACTTGACAGTTTGAGTAATACATCATTTCACCCTGAAGACCACGGTGAACTTCACTTTTGGGGTCTCCTCTGGCTAAATGAGATCTACAACTCTCCATTCTCGGAGCACGTACTTCTTGTTTTGGGGGAGGAGTACAGGAATGTAGATCAGCTGTGGCCTTTATATACCAATTCACTGTATTGTTATTTGTCATGAGTGCCTTGGCATTATGTAGGACATCCACTGGTGGGAAGTAAGAAATGGCCTCAAGTTGTGGCAGGGGAGGTTTAGATGATGTAAGGAGAAAAATTTCTTTACTGAAAGAGTGGTTCAACATTGGAACAGGCTGCCCAGGGAAGTGGTGGAGTCCCCATCCCTGGAGGTATTTAAAAGACGTGTAGACATGGTGCTTAGGGACATGGTTTAGTGGGTGGTGGTGTTGGGTTGACGGTTGGACTCGATGATCTTAGAGGTCTTTTCCAACCTCAATGATTCTATGATTCTATGATTCTATGAAGAGCAGCTATCTTTCTGCTCTGTGTTTCTTGTCATTTTCCACCCTTGGTATTTTTTTCCATCAGTCATTCCTGCCTCTCCTTTTTTGATCTTTTTTACCAACAGTATTTTCTCCTCTGTTTCACTGCTGATATAAACTGTGAAACAGTGAACATTGACATTTAAACTGCTGCTAATGAGGGCTGAGTTGCTAGCAAAGTTAAGAGCATGTGGAGAGCTTTCGTTGCTCAGAGTTGTTTCAGGCTGTCTGCAAACTCAGGATGGTTACACTGAGCTGGCTTGTTTGGGAAGAGATTTTTGCTACTACCAGCTCCTGGAATTTCCTTTTGTTCTAGAAAGCAAAGCTGAATCCTGCATATTCTGAACATATGCCACAAAGACCATGTGAGCACAACCATGTGAGCTGCATTGGCCCTATATTTCAGAATACCAACAAGTAAAAGATATAGGGAGTGTTTCTCACAAAAGGTATAAAGAAGAAGAAGTACAGACAAGATAGTAGTGTTTCTGCAGAGCTGTGAGAGGCACCAGCACTGAGGGTAAACACAGGCGTTTAGTTTTGTTGCTCCAGCAATCAATCAGACCCACCATTACTGGGTTTCCACTGCGTTGTACAGTGCTGTCCTGGGCAGGCTGTCAGTATGTAGATGCATCCAGGTCAAGGGGAGGATGTGAACTGGGTGCTGTTGTCTGACTGCTGTCAGCTCTACATTTGGACTGAGTGACTGAAAGCATTTTCAGTGCTACAGACTGTATACTTGGGACCTCAGCCATCAGCTGAAGGTGCTGCCTTCCTCTCTGTCCCTGAGCTAAACCGCACAAGGCTAATTCAACAGATTACTTCATCTTAACCCAAGCACACACCCTGAGCTCTGGGGAATTGTGCTAGTTTCTGTCCCTTTCTTACAATGTAGCAGCAAGCTGGTACTCTACCTTACTTTTCAGTTTCCTTGTTTTAAACAGCATCCCAAGCAGCTTGAACACAGTTGCTTTTTCTTGTTTTTCTTTCTTTCCTTTTTCTTTGCTAAAGGGAATTGAAGTGAAACCACACCATTCACAGAGAGCAGCCATGGTAGCAATGGTGGGTTGTCAGGCTCAGAGGAGGAGATGCCAGAATAAGTTCAGCAATGACATGATGTTCATTAGCCACAAGAGATGGAGGAGGAAAATCAAGCACTTGTTTTCAAAGGGATGCTTTTGCTTCTAGTGACTGGAGGGAGGGCTGACCTCCAATTTCCAGGCACAAGGAAATGACAGCTGCAAAAAAAGTTCCTCGTTCAGAATACACCAAAATTACCATCTTCTGCCTAGTTATTTGCTACTAAGAGATTCTGCTTTGAACATGTTCCCGATTCCAGCACCTCAGGAATTCACAAAGAGCAACCATTTCCAGTGATTCTTTTATTTAGGAACTTTGCTGGGTGCTTTACAATTTGTAAAAGGCTTAAGTATTATCACTGAGCTTTTTGTTCTTCGAAATAAAGCAATCAGCATTTTTATATCCTAAAGCACAAGCTGAGCGCTTGGCAAAAAAGCAAGCTTACAAGATGCGGGATGTTGAAAGGAGGCAGAGTCTCACAGTTAGAAGTGGGACTTGCAAATTTTAGGAATTCAGACTTGCTCAGTCTCTCTGAGGGTAGACAATACTTTCTGCCTCAGTTTCCCCTCTCCAGTGTGGGAAGAATACTGCTTTGTCTGTCACTTTGTCTGTCTAAAGAGGGAACATTTCAACTGAAAAATGCCTTGCTTTGTGCTTGTATGGCATCTTATGTAACAGGACCCTGCTGCTGAGTGGTGCTATGCCAATGCAAGTAGATATCACCAGTCTTTTCCTGGATGGTCTTTTGCTCCAGGTTGCAGGAGATCAGGAGCTGCTTGTTCTCAGATGAATTACAGTAAGGCTGTCTAAGAACCCTGGGAGCCTCCAGGGAGTTGTAGTTCACAGTGGCAGTTCCTGCCATTGTTTTTTAGACTGCATTTTTGAAAAATATCCAGTGCCGCCTTACAATAAGCAAACGAAACACAATTAATCTTTCTTCTGAAAAAGTGACTTGAACTGGATGTCCAGAACCTTGGCTGTGTAACCAGCAAAGCTGTGTGAATTGCAGTGACCAGCAAGTACATGCTGGATCTGTGTACCATCCCTGACTTAGCACGCTGCAGATCAAATTTGAGTGCTGCAGTTGCTTTTCCAAGCTTTATGTGGATGGAGTTAGACTTATGTCTGTCAAGGGTTGATAGTTTACCAACAAGTTAATCTTAGAGAGATAGAGATAAGCTTAAATGCTGAGGAAGCAAGACTCTGCCCCAGCCCTGATTTCAATAAGTTTCTCTAATTTTTGAAGCTTCTAGCAAGGTTCAGTGCTGCTGCTGAAGGACATTATATTGGTCCACTTCACATTTAAACCTGGATTTTACTATTAGTTTGCTCAGGAAGAGAATACATGCATTTAAAATGTACTCAGCTAGCACAGCTCCAGCAATTAGCAGCCAAAGAAAAGGTACTAATTTGATGCAGCCATTAAACCCTCCATGCTTGAGTACTCCATTGGTCCAATTGTTGCAAAGTGCTGTGAAATGCCAGCTCCCAGCACTAGCAGGGCATGGAGTGAATGCTGGCAGCCTGCAGCAAACTGCTTGTAGGCTTTAGAGCGGTCCATCCCTCTTTAATTCAATATTCGCAACAGAAGATCAGCCCAAGAGCAAAACTTCAAAATGCCAGTGCCCATCAAAGCTTCTGTCTGCCCTTCAGACATGCGTGGAGGAATCGGCGGCCAGAAAGATTGGATAGAAAAGAGGAGATGCCAGGAGCTAAATGCAGCCTTGCTATCTTTCACCTTCATAGCATGCCCTGAGGAATGGGAGGCCTGCCTGTCTGTATGATACCAAAGGCTCACAGGGCTGTACTGTCTGCTTTTTGGACAGTGATATCCGGGATCTAAGTTTCTTTCAATAAATACAACAACTTCCTGCCCTCTCTCCCCCTTAATCCTACTGGAATGGATAGTGGGCATGCTGAAGAACTGGGCAGGCTGCTGCTTTTAAACTGGTGATGCTGGCACAAACCAGCTTTGGTCCCACCAACAAGGAGAAAATGGGACTGGGCTTCGTATGCCTGAACCATTAGCATTCCTCATGTTACTGACTCACCAGCCCAAATCTTTTGGAAAGCCTCATTTGTATTGTTTTGAACATACTGGCTAATGAGCGCTTTAAGGATGATTTGTTTTTCCTTTCTGGTTTCAGGTCCTCAAAGCTGCTGCGTGCATTCTACGTCCCTCTCCTCTCAGAACAGTACACATGGTATGCAAACTATACTATTCTGAAATCCCGGAGGTCGAGGCAAACCAGGAAAAAAATGGGAGGCTAGCAACACACCTGGGCAACAAAACCAAAAGCATCTGCTGACACTCTTGGACAGCTGCCTAAGCCATCTTCAGTTCCGTTTTTGAAAGATTGCGCTTGTAAGATTCACTAATAAAGATTTCCCATGAAGTAATTTCACTCTGCAAGCTTCCAGCTGTAAAAAGGGTGCATCATCTGTTTTCAGTTCCTCAGTGTCAGGTCTCTGCTCTGCCTACACAGAACATATTGGTAAGAAACCATTTGAAAATCCAGCAGCCACCTACGAATGTATTATCCCTGCTGCTCCCTGTGTTATTATCTATTACACCAGAGAAGAGAAAAATGGAAAATAAAAAGGAATGACAGTATGAGGTTCTGCTCCAGGTTGCAATCTGGCACTGGGAAAATCCAGCTCAGCCTCTCTTTCTCTCTCCTGCTGCCCCACCTCCACTGTCCTTGTCTGCTTAAGTAGTGTTCACCTTCTCCTAGGGAATTTTTTCAGGTAACAATGTTTAGGAATTGTTTCTTTTTTAAGAAAAAGGAAAACACCTGAGAGACAATTAACTGAAATGCACTGAATCTTAAGGAATGAAGTAGTGTGCACCACAGAGAAACAGCCTAAAGTTGCTCTGTCCAGGAGACACTTTCAAGGATAAACTTGCGCTTTGGGGAGGAAAAAACCCAAACTTAGGAGTTGAGCCAATTAACTGTTTTAACGGGATCAGAGTGTTTTTGTTATCTGTGAAACCAAGGGTTTGTTCACTATTTATAATAATTTTTTAAAGATACCTATAACATCCTTTGAATTCTAGACTACAGCATCTTAAAATTTTTGGAAACATCCAGAGAGGATAAGAAGCATTAATTTTTTTTTTCGCAGAATAGACAGTATATGTTACATTGGTCCAATATGCTTCAGAGCAATTTATTTATTATATCTCCATTTTTAAAACATGCAGTATCACAAGCTAGATGAAGGGAGTTGTTTTCACTCACATCCTTGGAACTCTGTGGGGATGGGATGGCAGGAGATGGAGCAAATGGAGGTTCCTTTTGCAAAAAGGCTGTACAAGCTCCATGCCCCACTGTGACTGTGATTAGATTGGTCTGTGTGTGCAGTGACGGAATGCCAGAGCAGGTGGATCAGGAAGCAGATTGGTATGTTTGGAAGCTGTTGGGATCCAAACAGAAAAGCATGTGCCTCTGAGGATACATGTGTCGGTCCAGGTGCAGAATGCAGTGCTAGGCAGGTCTCTTGGCTAGTCTGCAGATTAACAGCTGAGCAGGATGGGAAGGGCAGGCTGTACCAATGGGGCTGTGATCTAACATGACACCACTGGGACAAAGCAGGAGGAGCTGGATGAGGAGCAAGGCATGGGCTGAATCATAAGAGCAACTTTAGAAACACAGGGAGAGGTGTTCTGAATCCCCTGCATTTCATTAAGGAGGAGTTTTTTTAATGGCATTGTGCTCTATTGGAAACACAGCTTATAAAGTGCAAAACATGGTAAGAGCAAACAGTGTGCTTCTTCGTTGTCTGGATGATTACAGCATGGACAATGCAGTTCTCCTCCATGGCACCCCCACTGTATGGAGGAGCAGTTTGAAGCTGAGACTCTAAATTCAAACTTTGAAGGCTTAGGGAACCATCTGTGGTATCTAAGTCTTGGCTCTCTTCAGAGAGATGGATTTCACCCTGTTCAAATACCACCTTTCACAAGAGTCAAATGTGGAGCCTCAAGGTTTTCAGCCAAGCAACTGGTGTCTTGGGTGAGTTGGTCTGGAAGGTCAGAGTCACACTGCAGATCAACGTTGTAGTGTCTGTGTTCATAGTATTCCCCCACCTCCCTCCAGCCAGCTCTACCCCTCATAAAATTTTACATGTGTTGAACAGGGCTCTACAGTGCCAGTAAATCAAAACCAAAACTCTTGCCCTGCTTGTTGCCTCTTCCCTTGCTAATCCCTGACCTTAAACCAAATAAAGAAACAAATGTAGTTAAAAACCAATTGCACCTCTCTCTGGTGCTGTTTGTGTGACTGTTCCATGTTGTCATAGCCCATAACCTCATATTTAATGTGAAAAGACAGTACAGTAAATATCCATTTTAAATGACTGTGGCTGCTCCACCTTCCTCTCCAGTTTGATTCCTGTTTTGGGGTGGTGGTGGGAGACTGATAACTTGACAATAATTAGGAGTTATCAATGTTTTCCAGAGGAATGCGGCAAATGTTTGGTTCCTGGTAGTAAACACAGGTGTGGCTACACGTAGTGGACAGCTGGATAGCTTTGCATTCGAGAGTTTCAAATCAAGGCAGGGACTCCATTTTGCTGCTTACCATGCAAACAGGTGGAGTCAGTCCTGCCACCTGGAGAATTTGCAGGCTAAAGAAATGAGGCAGAGGAAGGGAGGGTTGTTACTCTCATTGATGACAAGAGCAGATCACATTTTAATGCCCATTTCAGGGGGAAGTTGGGAGTCTCAGTGCTGCAAAGATCTTGACCCAACAACTCATTTAAGGTCACACATGGAATCTGCCTACAAGTTGTTTCTCATACAGTGTCTTTGGCACAAAACCAGCCTTCCTGCCAGCAGGTAAAGGAGCCAGGGCCTCCTTTCCTTTAGTCCCTGCTAAAGCATAATTGTTGTCATGGGTAGTGCTACTGGGCAGCCAGAATGTAGCATAGAGGCAATCTATCGATCCCAGCTGAGACCACTGGGAATGAGGTGAAGTTGCTACTAACGGTGTTTCTATCATAAAGACTGAGGCATAGGTGAGATTTCTGATAGGAAGTGGTAAGGCTCCCCTCATCTTTTCATAAATCACAAGTCAGGACTGTTGCACTCTGTGCAGTGCTGAGATTAAGCAAAAAGCCATCAATAACGAGATTACTAGTAATTAAACAGACTTGATGGAGTGAACCGTACAAGTCCAAGGAGTATGTGAATCGGGGCCTGAGGAAGAGACTGCAAGAATTGCCTACCTGGCTCAGGTTTAGCTGGATGAAGGATCTTGCTTTCTGAATGCAGATGTGGATGCAAAGAGGTTTGCACCAAAAGGTGGAGCTGCATCCGAAACAAAACATTTTTAAAAGCATTTTGTAGTTTGCTTTTCTGGTTTTGTTAGCAAGCTTGAGGGAGGGGCTTCTGATTTTTTTTCCTTTTCTCTTTGCTTTGACCCTAATTAAAGCAAATGTATGATCTCATTGTGAGGAGGCAGGTTTGGGACAGCTAATTTATGATCCCTATTAAAAAATAAATAAAGTTTTGTGGTTTGCGAGCTCATGGGTAAAGGGTCAAACCACAAACTGCTGATCTGCCTCAGCTGGATTCCCTGCCTAGAGTTGCCTTGGACAGAGAGGGGTGTTGTGACCAAACCTGTCGGGTAGCACATCAGGATTGTGTAGGCAATCCACCTTTGTCTCCTTTCTGTCTCTGGAGAAAGGGCTCTTCATATTATTCCGGCTGGTTCTGGAAAATAAGGTATCTAGATGGCTTTCTACAGTGATGTTAGTGTCTGACCTTACACACTGACAGAAGCTGGTTTCTTGACAGAATCGTAGATGGGCACAACCTTTCGGTCATGACTGTGGCTAGATCAGGTGTCTTGCATGAAGCTGAGAGATGGCACAAGACACTCGCAGTTGGTCGGGGAATGTACAGGGGTTACAGTATTCTAACCTCCTCTTTGCTGGCAGTATTTCTCCACCTTTAAACTGAGGCTGAGAGCACTGCAGGTTGGACAAGTGCTGCTGTGAAATACTGGGACCCAGTAAATTTCATTTTGTCTGAGCTCATCCAGTCTTGGCAACAAGGAGCACTGAGGTGGAGAGTCCCTGAGGAAGTGCCAGCAATGAGACAGATTGACACTCTCAGAAATAGGCTGAGGGAAGTCACGATTTCCACAGAACTATTTTTTCCTGCTTGTCTGCTGCAGCAGGATTTAAGGTCCATTTCAGTTATGCTCCTGCTTTTTCTGCCTGTTCCTGGAGTTCAGCTGCAACGTGCTCCAAAGGCAGGCGTATGTGTAAGCTGGTTGTCTCCACCTAGGGCTCTGCCTGGGCTTGGGGGCACGTCAGAAGAGGGCACTCCTGGACTTGAACGTTTCCAAGGATGTTCAATGCAAATTTGCTCTTTTTTTGAAAGGAAAACAAAAAGGACACTGCATCTCCACAGAGGTGATACTTAAGCTTTCCTTGACTCAGTTTTTTTTCCCGTTCAAAGTTTTTTGTCTTCTTTCTGTAGGAAAATTATTTGAAATAATGTACTCTCTTAGAAGCCAGGAACTGAGAGTGTGTGTGAAGAAGTAGGGGCAAAGGAGTTGAGGTGTGTGGAGCAGATATGTTGGATATGAATAACAGTGAATAAAATGTTGAGGGCTGCATTTAGGCTGGGAAGGCTTCAGGCTGGCTTAGCTGGGAATGCCACAGGCCAGCTTTCAGGTGTGACTGGCAGATCTGTACAGAAGCTGGTTGTTCTAGGACAGATTTATGGCGTGTTGGCAGCTGGTCTGTCATATCAGAGCACAGCTGCTGTTTGACAACTCTTCTCTCCATAGGAATGGGGAAGCACTTTCACTCGCCATGTTGCATTGCCAACATACAGGAGATTTCTGTAAAGCATGGTGGGGGGACGTTATTTCCAAAGCAGATTGTGCATCCTCTCAGTGATACTGAAGGAACCGGACTAAAGTTTGGTACCTGGGACAGTGATGGTCAGTGTCAAATAACTGCTCTTTCCTCTCCCCTATTCACCTGCCGTGTCTCTAGTGAGCCTAATGCTTAGACAGTTCTTAGTTGTGGCCTTACTGGTAACAGCTCTTTCCTTGCTACTTGTACTAACCTCAGAAGCAGGGACTATCTTAGTATTTGAGTCCACCTCACATCCAACAAAAGGTATCAAGTTGTGTGTTTATTTTGTTGCTGCAAGAAGGGCTCTAAGTAGCAGTGGAGAGAGGCCCTGGTAATGAAATTCTGTGGTTTTGAGTTCCTAGCTCTCCAGGCACTGCTGGATGAAAAAGCTGTGAATTTCTTTCTCCTCCAGCATCTGTCAGAACCTGAGCATCATCCCAGCCCTGCTGAGATTCAGCGCATGTCCCCGTGAATAACTGCACATGTC